AAAAGAAAATCACCTCCTGAATTGGATATTCATACTATCTTAAAGGCGAGTAGCTTCACATCTTGAAGAAAATGAAGCTGTTTCCCTTTGTCCTTCCACTCAACTAAATTTCACATTTGTCTTTGTTTACAAAGGATTTTAGACAGTGTAATTTTAAGCAAATAATTTCCATTTTATTTTGATTCCATTTTTACCTAATAATAGAGATAATTGATTATGGGTAACTTAAGATTTCTTTTCCTCACTTTAAAGATCTTAAGTTTCTATTTAGCCTTCCTAATCCTCATGAAAATCGTCACACTTGGGCATATAAACAGGTTCTTGGAGATGTGCTGAGAAAAGTAAACAGCCGGCCTTAAATATATTGCATGTACATTTATTTTTTTCTCTGTTTACTGAATTTTTTAATAAAATAGAAATGAAACAGTATGTGTTAATGAAAGAAAATCCTTCTTGCCTCAGATTTCCCAACTTTATTTTGAGGGGAAAAAGTTTGTATTTCTCTTTAACCAATATAGAAAAAGGTTCTGTACTTAAGATATTTACATTCATAGTGTACATCAGATCCAATTTAAATCCAAAGGTGTAACAGCAATCAATTACTTAAGCATAAACATGTTCTTAAATGTTTGGCCTTTTTTCTGTTTCTCATTCAAGTTTGTTGGTAATTCTCACATTTTACAAACTGATATTGTTGTTTATAAAGATATAAAGTAGAATATATACCATTTTCTTTCCTTTTGCCATAAAAGTCATCTTTGTATTGTATTGTGATTTTCCTCCAGGTGAGAGAGGAAACTGACCAGGTGTGGTATGCAGGCCTAGCCTCACATATTAGGAACTCTCAAGAACTCAGGAATCTAAGGAATAAATACCCAGTCTCCCTCACATGAGCAGGTCAACTTTTCATTCTAAATTTAGGTAAAACTGCAAGCATGAAAAAAATAGAATTTTTCATTGCAATTTTCATAGTCAGGTAATGTTTTAGCAACTTGAAGTCAGCACTTAATTTGATTGTATTACCCATCAAAGAGTCTCTAATCTTTTCTGTTTCTAGCAGTAAAGGAAATGAATTATTCTTTATTTTCCAAATGTATTAATATAAAGCACAAATGTGATGTAGTTACTTAGAATACAAAATACTATGAATGTAAAGAATGGAAAACTGTATTTTTGCATGAAAACAGACCACTTACAAACTTACTTTCTCAGGAAAAGTGAAAAATTATATATAAAATTGATAAACTATATGTTGAATTAAGCTGGTATATTTTCTTGCCTGTTTCTATTTTAAGAAAGCATATAGGTGAAAAGAAAAAAAATGATTCCAGTAGTCAGAATTTTCTCTCAAGTATGCTACACAGTCCTTTCTGTGAATCTACAGTTAACCACAGTAAGAATGGAATTAGCGTTCAAGTGAGGACAAAGCTCTAATGAGAACACATAAATGGTTATAACCCAGAGGCAATAGATACATATTACCTGGAGACAAGCATTTCCAAACTTGGTCCAAACAAAAGGTTTTCATGGGGTGACAGTGGCTTTTAAACATTCATTTGACTGATTATTTTTATTTTTCTTGTTAAGTCATTGCAGCAGTTGCATGAAGGGGAAATGGATATTTTTTGAAGAACTGCTTATTCTACTTTCAATTTTTAAAAATTGAGGAAATTTAAAAGTTACCTTTTAAATATGCATAAAAGTATATTAACTGTAATTATATTTTTAGTTGCTTTGTTATAATAGCATGCATATCAAATATACAATGCATTTATGAAAACTTTTGTAAAAAATAAAGATTTTTTTGTTTCTCAAAGTTGCTTATAATTACTATTTTATATATTTATTTAGCATAATCCTCTGATGTTAGTATATTTGGTGATCACTGGTCATAATGCTTATGGTAAACATGGAATCAAGCTATATCACTAGGCAACATACTCTACATCCTTTGTAAGGATCCCCAAACTCCGAAGACTTATGGTCCCCCCAGAGAAGCTCTCCTTTTCTTTGCACATTTGCTATTATAAATGTGTCCTGGATTTAAGTGTATCCAGGATTTAATTCATTTTTATATTTTAAAAGAACACATGATTGTATTCAAGTTTTCCATTACGATGGCCCTTAGGCAGTATTTCCTTGTCTTTTACCCATACACAGTGGGTACACTCTTAAAATGGTATATTCTGCCGTGTCTAAATTATGCAGATTTTGCCTTCTCCATATATTTGCTACCATCTACTCCTATTTTCAAAGCTTTTAGTGTAGCTGGGGCCCCTCTCATCTCTTGTCTGGAATATTGCAGTGCTTTTAAAGTTAGTCTTCCTGTTTCCACCTCAGCTTCCTCAAATTTCACCACCCACATTTGAGTCAGGGCAATGTTTCTAAATTGAAAATCTGGTCATGCCACTCTCCTGCTTAGTATTCCTTCAATGACTTCCCATACTTTCTGGGATAAAGTTCAGGCTCCCTGGTTCAGCACATAAGGCCCAGGGCCTCTTCTCCAGTCCTTCCTCCAAAGAATCTTGGTTCCAGTTATGCCAACCACTTTTTTGCAGTGGCCTAAAAGCATCATGATTTTAGTCTCCTTTTCATAGAATACCCTTTCCTTTAATCTCCCTAATTCCCATCATTCATTTCTTATATCTCAGTTCAACTACCCTTTTCTCTAAGAAGCTTCCCATATGGTTGCATGGTTAACTGACCCTCTGCCACATGCCCACTAAGACTAAGTTGCTTGTGGTTGTAACCCCAGCACAGAAAGTCTGTTCCATCATGGAGGCTCAAGAAATGTCTGTTGAATAAAAATCCCCTTGGCCCTTTTACATAGGTTGCGTAGTATTAAGACTGCAATACTGGCAGATACTTTTCATTTATCACTTATTTTTTCCAAATCCTGTGGACTAAGCAAAAATAAACTGCTTTTCAGTTGAGCCCTAAATCCTGTGGATGGTACCACAAATGAAACTGCTCAGAGTTCAGGTTGCAGGGGTTTGGGGGGCAGTCACTTGATAAGAAAATGGTATTCTGAAAGATTTCCTCTGGGCTCCAGGGAATCCTATATCCATGAACTGGCTGTTTTCCCAAAAGCTTTCTTCAGAAATCTCTTAAAAATTTGGAATCTGTTTGCCCATAGAAGTTAGCATTTCCATGACTTCCAAATCCAGTCAAAACAATCAAATGACTGAACTGAAACACTGAAAGCAGAATTCTAAGTATAGATATGGAAACAATATAACAGGGAAATGGAAGATGTTCAGTTTAACACTTAATGACTGAATGTTTGAAATATCATTTGTGTGTTTGAGGATAGAGTGGAGGGAGATACTGCATTGAGATACCTCCGCCCTACTTCACCCTTTTGTAGGGGAAACATTTCTTTCTCCTTGTGTAGGCTGGGCAGGCGGAGCTTTAAATTAACCAAGTTTGACTGTACAGTCTCTTCTCCTCCCCTTGCTATTTAAGGCTTCGAGCTCTTTTCCTTGCTCTCCTCCCCCACCCCTTTCCCAGCCATGTGTTGGGAGGAATGGGAGCATGACACTAGCCAAATATTAGGGGATTCATGCCACCTATGCCAACCTCCTGTCCTAATGAGCCTCCTAAGACAGGTGTCCTAATTGCTCACCTTTGAATTGAGGGGACAACCAGAACATCTCTAAGGACACTTTTGGCTCAAGGAATGACACGGGAGGTTATTTCAAGTTTTGAAGCCCTGGGCATTAACTCCCATAAATCCTGACTTGATAGCACCTCAGTGAAGGTAATTCAGTATAGAGAGGGTTCTAGAGAATAGGGCCACCAAAGGGCAGATCAGCTTTTGCTTTGAGCTGTTTTCCTTTTTCACCATTTCTTCCACTTCTATGTCTTGGGCATTCCAGGATCCATACCTCCTAAAATTCATTTAAGAACTCCACAATTTTTTTTTTAAAACAACATTCTCCAATGGGAGAGAGGGGAGCCTGGAAACCTGGCTTGTAAACTACAGACTGCCTGTCAGCATGTATGGATGTGACTAGAGAAAAGATGTTGAAATATGATAATTGCTTTATACAACAACAAAACTGTGAGATCCTTGACTATTTAGAACCATTTCTAATTTCGCTTCTGTACCCCAGGACCTAGCATAATGCCTGACACAGAGTAAGGTGCTGAGTAAGTACTAATTCAGTGATTCAAAGCACGATATGTAATAAAGTAAGAATAACTGCCCTCTATTCTTTACAAAGTTAAGTTTTAATGATTAATTATTAATAAGTGACTTTTTATGAGCAGATTTTGAATTTAAAAATCGAGTGACTTTATTATGAAAATATTGTGGCTATATGTGTGCTTACATACACAATATTGGAGCATCACGGAAGTCTGAGTTTTTCTAATTTCATCTGTACAAATAGCATGTTTTAATGTTGTGAAATGTCATTTTTTAAAAATAAGAAGATGGTTATTACATACACAATATGTTTATCAGATGCAGCCAGATGGTCTATCTTCAGTGTATGGAGTGAGTGGTCATTCCCATGTTACTCCCTTTGGGCAGAGAAAAAGACCTGAGCCTCAGGGCACTAGGAGGGGAGCCCTTGTGGAACTCTCTACCTTAACCACAAGGCTACTCAGAGATGTCCAGGAGGTAGCTTCGAGGCTGGGGCTCAGAGATTCTGCTTGTCCCTGAGAAGAAACCTCCTGGAACCTAAGCACTTCTAATGCTTGGTCAGACTCAAGTAACCATGGCTCCACAGCAAATTGGCGGCTCTAGGGACTGAGGTGCTCAGAAAACATTCCCTGTCACTGTAATGTGCTTTCATTCCTCTCTCACCTTCCTGCACTGAATCAGGCTTCCCCCTAGGTAGACCCTATGTGCTGAGACCTCAAACTCCATTACCACGGCTTTCCTGGTAATGTTGCAAGGAGACTGGCCCAATTATCAGTACCAGGTGTTGGGCCCAGCTGACTACGTCTTCCCAGAAGCCACCACATCACTGCGTCTTCCCAGAAGCCGCCGCGCGATTCCGCGGAGATAAAAAGGCGGGAGTGAGGCCGGCCGCTCCAGGCCAGCGTCGGGGGTTCGGCGCTGTAGGCCTTTTGATTTTTCTCGCCTTTTCTGTTCCTCTCTGGCTGCCCCACAGGCCTGGACCCTGGTTCCATAGGACTGTAGCTTGGTTCCCCAGAAAGACGACGAGACAGGCCGTCCAGGGCTAAGAGGCCTCTGGGGCCTGGCGGTGGGGTGACAATGTGGTCACTAGGGGTCTACACCCGCAAAAAGCAGGCCGGCGGTAGGCTCAACCTAACCCCAAAGCCAGGTCTAGGTGCCCCGGCCAAGGCGGAGGCCCCGTCACGGCCCGGCCGAAAGCTCCTTGTCCACCGTAAGCTCCGCGGGGCTGGCTCATGGCGCAGGATGCGGGGTGGTCAAGAGCCAAGGGCGGGGGCGGTTGGGCCTCAGCCCCAGGGCCCTCCCCAAGGCCTGCAAGCAGGCCTGTGAGGCTTTTATCCTGAAACGTGTCACCCTGTCTGTAGGCCTGAAAAGAAATGGCAAAACGCGTGGTTTGCGGAGAATCGCGGAAAAATCTGAGCGGAGTGGTCAGGGAGGTGGCAACTCTGGGCCACCGAGGTGTGTATACACAAGTAACAGCCCCATACCTCTGGCCACTTCAAAATTTCAGTCCTGATTTGATCCTAATAACCTCTCATTCTAAGAGTCATTGAAGAAAAAGAGTCAGTGAAGGAAATAACGTGTTCTGATTTGGCTCTTAGAACACAGAACCGGGAATTTGACTTAGGAAAGAGATATTATTTTTTTAAAGAAGGAAATTTGGCCAAGTTGCCCAAAGGCAAGTGAGATATAATCTCCAGGGAAGCATACCCGGCGTATTGGGTGTTGATACAATTCACACACTATGTTCTTGGCTAGTGATGACCCCATAGAGCCTTTCAGGTTGTAAACAGCGTGAACAGTGATCTGGAGTGTGGAGAGCCAAGTCCAGACAGACACTACAAACTAATTGTGTTGTTTGTTTGTTAGCACTGAGTTAAGAGTTACAGGAGAGAAAAGCCTGCATGAAAATAGCACTAGTGAAGAGACCCAGGATGAGAAGATCGCTCTATTGAGTGTACGTATGTTTCTCCTCTGGTCCTTGGGTAATAAACCTAGTGCAGAGGCTAGTGGTACCTATTGTACCTCTGAAAGGAAGTATAATATGATCTTTGTTCAATAGAGACTACGTAACTTTCCAGTGTTTTTATAAATACCGATGCTGTGGCTTTAGATAGGGCCTTGAATTTCTGATTCTGGTAGACTCATCGCCATGCATTTTTATTTTTCTTTGCTTTGTCAAAGATTTAAGAAATATTCGTTACTGGCTAATTTTCTGTGTGACAAATATAAAATACTTCTTAGTAATTCTGTTATGTTTGGTAGCACACATTTCAAAGTCATTTTCATGTTTTCTCATTTGACTTTGTATTAACAATTAGAAACAGAGGATTCATTATCATTAGAATATTATGTAACTTCCTTATCTAATGTAGTTAATATGGATTCTGTAAAATATTTTAAAGATGTATAGCAGTAATTTGGGCTTCGCTGGTGGTTCATATGGTAAAGAATTTGCCTGCAATGCAGGAAACCTGGGTTTGATCCCTGGGTGGGGAAGATCCCCTGGAGAAGGAAATGACTACTCACTCCAGTGTTCTTGCTTGGAGCAGTAGTTTGGAGAAACTCAGATTTTAAAAATTGCTGGTGACTCATTTGACATTAGCATTAAATTTGATAGTCACAGTCCAGCATTTTAGCTTGCATATTTCTCTATGACATGTTTTTTGGGGGAGGGCAACTTTGACAAAACACATTTTTTAAAAAAGTCTTTTCCCCAGATTTTAACAGTGTTAAGTGTCCCTAACAGATGATTCAAGATGTGCAAAAAGAATATTTAAGCAGTTCCTTTTAATTTTTGTATTTTCCTTCCATTTATTTTTTTCCTGTGCCTTTAAAAACTTTTTTTTTTGCAAATTATTGTATAAATTCCTCTAACATTAAATAATCTTCAAAAATATGGCTTTTAGTGTCTGCATAGTGCTTTGTCTTATATATAGGCATACTGTAATTTCTATAACTATTTTTTGTGGTTGAGAGGTTGAGACTGTTTCCAAGGTTTTGCTGTTTTATATATCAGTAGATATCCTACCACAGAAATTGTTTTTATATACCTTAAATTGTTATCCTAAGATAAATGTGTTGCAGTGGGTCAAGGGTTGGATTATGTTTAAAATTTTTATTTCATTCTGTCCAGTTGGCACCATCTTATCTGAAACTTAAAAATATATAGATAGATATATAGATAGATAGATTTGATAGATGAAAAGTAGCATGTTGTTTACTTTCCATTTCTTTGAATGCTAGTAAAATTGATACTTTTTTCATTTTGTTGGCCATTTGTGTAACTTTGTGAAATACTTATTCGTTATATATTGAAGATAGTTGTACTTTACACACACATGTAACAAATTTTTCCACATTTTCCACATTCTTTTATTTTACTTTTGGTATTTTAGACCTATTTATCATTTTCTTTTTTTTTATTTTGCTTTTGTATTTAGAGGGGGAAAAATCCTTCTTGCCTAGGGGATAGAGAAATATTCATTTTTATCTTCTCGTTGCTGGTTTTTCAGGGACTTCCCTTCTCTGGTAGCTCAGCTGGTAAAGAATCTGCCTGCAGTGCAGGGGACCGCAGTTGGATTTCTGGGTCGGGAAGATCCGCTGGAGAAGGGCTAGGTGGCCCACTTCAGTATTCTTGAGCTTCCCTGGTGGTTCAGACAGTAAAGAATCCTCCTGCAATGTGGGAGGCCTGGGTTGGGAAGACCCTCTGAAGAAGGGAAAGTCTACCCACTCCAGTATTCTGGTCTGGAGAATTCCATGCACTGTGTATAAGTCCATGGGGTCATAAAGAGTCGGACATGACTGAGTGACTTTGATTTTCATAACTGAGCATCTTTCATTTTCACTTTGCTGGTTTATCCCACAATAGTTATTGACTAGTATATTTTTGACACCCTAGATATGTCCACAGTATTATATTTTAAGGTTTAATATTAAATATCAGATTACATCTATATCAATAAGCTGAAAAATGTTTTAAATATGAAAGTGATACACAAAGTTGACATTAGTTTTGTGTTTTTAAAATAACTAAATCAATGTTTTTATAGTATTATAATATAAAAATATTCCATCTCATAATTTGTGTATATGTTTAATTCTTATTTCATATAGGAGTCAGCGACAGGTGACCTCCAGACTGATAGTAGTTCATCAAGTAGTAAACAAGTAACAGGTAAGACTGGCAATGTGAACTCCTTCAACTTACTTTCTTACAAACATAAACATCCATTTGTATCTATCTGTCTTCTCTTCGCATCTCAGTAGAAAAAATGTCTTTCTCCTGGTCCAAGTTGAATCCTTCTGCCTGTGCTCTGGACTTCATCCTCAAAGCCTTAAAACACAATTGTGATAGGTGTTATAAAAGTGAGGTAGACTTGACTGTAACTGAATTTAGTTGAAGAGATTAAAGAAGGCTTCCAAGAGGGAGTGGTAATTTACGTGAGATCTGAAGAAATGTAGAGCTTAACTATACAGAAAGATGAATAAAGAGAAATCCAGGCAGAGGGAACAGAGGAGGAAATGTGATAATAAGATAAGGTTGGACAGGCCGAAACCTTCCATAGCCTTGTAGGCCATGCCAAAGATATTTATCTTTGGAGCAGCAGGAAGCTGCTGAAGTCTTTTAAATAGAGAATAATATGATCATATTTTTTTAGTCACTGTATGGGAAGAAGCAGAAGTGGATGTTAGTAGACGTCCTTTGGGAGGCTGCTGTAATAGTAAAGGGGAGGAATGATGGCCTTTTATGCTAACAGATGACACTGGAAATGGAAAGAAGTGGATATACGTATGGTTATTGTAGGAAATGAAATTGACAGAATTTACAGATGAAGATTGAAGATGGAGGTGTCAGAGGTGCAATGTGTTTCTGATTTACATAACTGAGTGTAAGGTGGTGCTGCCATTCACTGAAAAAATCTTGTTTGAGAGGAAAATCATAAATTTTCTCTTTAATGTATTAAGTAATGGGTGCCTTTAAGATGACTAGTAATACAAATAGGGAGTTGAACATGGAGGGCTGCTGATAGAAATTTGGTGTAATTGAACTTATTTTTGAAAACAAAAAAGGATGTCATTACTACACCAGAAAGCCTGAGGAATTCTTAAAGACAGATGAGATCAGACTGATGAATATATGAAGAGCAGAGAAAAACCACTGCAGAGGTAAGAGTAGCTCTGGAGATGCACTTAACTCAAAACACTTGGTCAGTAAAGGTGAAACACTGTAACAGATGGGAGCCTGAAGGAGTTGTCAAGATAATGGATTAAGCACTGCATTTAAGCAGTGTATGACCTGGCCCCCTTCTCATCCCCTTCTCATATTGGGAACACTGGCAACTTAGTGCTTGCTGCCAGGTCAGAACCCTAGGAATTACTGCCTAGCAAAGTGAGCTAAGACTTCATTTTGGCTCCTTAGGATCAATGTTGGAACTGGAGAGAGGAGCAGAAGAGTCTGAAGTAACTCCAGATTGCCATACAGGTAGCAAAGGGGCAGAAAAGTTAAAAAATATAGATTATGCTCTACTTGTTAGTCCCAGGGAAAAGATACATAATGGCTCTCTGAAATGGGAATTCTGATATAGGAGACTTCCAGTGTGGATACTAGCCAAATAGGGCAGTGCCCCCATGTAACCTAGGGCTTTCCAGGTGGCCCAGTGATAAAGAACCCGCCAGCCAATTCAGGAAATATGGGCTCGTTCCCTGAGTCGGGAAGATCCCCTGGAGGAGGAAATGGCAACCTACTCCAGTATTCTTGTCTAGAAAATCCTATGAACAGAGGAGCCTGGTGGGCTATAGTCTATAGGATCACAAAGAGTCAGACACAACTTAGTGACTGAGCTTGCACACACTCCCGTGTAGCCACAATGCCCAGAAAATAAAGGAGATCACCCCCACTCAGAACATAAATCCCCAGAATGTCGCATCACTCTTCTAAAATCTCCAGAGGTAGCTTGTTTTTTTCAGAATTTATATTCTCTGCCTTATAAACAGAGATTCTCAAATAGACATATGAACAGACAATCAAAAACAGTCAAATCTTTGAAGAATACCAATGCCATGAAAGAGAGGACACAAATGAACCAAACAAAAGAATCAAAACCTGAAGGAATGATAGTAAACTTTAAATATCTCTTTAGAGACAAGAGGCAATTGAATCCATAATGTAATAGGCTGCTATAAAAAATTATAGTCCCTGAAAACTAAAAATGTAAAATTTTAAAACAATAAATCAACCTAATATTGGGATGTACTCAGCTGAAAATCAAATTAGCTAGGTAGAAAATACAGGAATTTTCTTAAAATATAGTGTAAAAGAACATGGGAAGTGCTTAACAAACGCTTTTCCCTCCTTCTTCCTTCTTCGGCTAGTTAACTTCTGCTAGTTCTTCAAATACAGATTCAGGTGCCATCTCTTTTGGAAGCCTCTCCTGACTGCTCTTCTCTCTTTCTAGATGAGTTGTTCTTTCCTGGTAGTTCCATGGCACTGTCACAGGACTCAAAACAACAGTATAATATTTGTTCCTCTAAGCTCTAAAGCTGTTGAGAATAAGCACTGCCTTTTATCTTCCTATTCCATGCTTGAGACATAATATAATCTTAAATTCTTGTTGAATGAGTTTTCTACTCTCTTTAGAGGAAATAAACAATTTTATCATAATCAATATTTTAAGAAATTGTAGTTTAAGTATATGACAAATGTCCTTACTAGCTTTATCAAGTTGATGTGTGAAAGGTATGAGAAAATAGAAGACAGACTGTCTCTAATTAACAAACTAGCTGTATCTGAGTTTGTTTGATATTTGATTGATATTTGAGACCTAGAATACTTTATACTACAATAAAATATAAATGGTTAGGTTTTGAGCAACCCACAGAATTCTATTTAACATATAATTGTTTTAATTCTGTCTTGGAATCTAGAAATTTTGAAACATGATTAAAATTAACTCAGGATTTCATGTTTAATATGGAGGGTTGAACATATTTATTTATTCCTTCTGAAAACACTGAAATATCAATAAAGGCATAAAAAAGACATGAGGCCATAATGTAGAGAAAAAGAGAAGAAACCTTAGCTGATGAGAGATAATCAACAAAAGTTTGGAATCTGCAATGTAAATGAATTAAGTTTAATAGTCTTAATAGAAAAAAAAAAAAAAGGCTGAAACCTAGGGCAAACCACGAAGTGAAACAATGCAGATTGAAGGTTCAGAAATTAGAGACATATTCCACATATTTGTGAAGGAATAGGTAGAGATAATGTTGAAAATAGAATTTTTGGAAATCTTTAAAAGTAGCAATTAGATACTTTGATCCCTCTGCCAGGACAATGTAGCCGGGCAGCAACTCTTATTCCCACCATGGCTGTCCAGAGACATTGAAGCAAAGGGATGCTCAGTACTGCTGAGGGCAGGGGTGCTATACTGAAAACTAGCAGTGAGGGGTGGGAGGAAGAGGGAAGGGAATTAAGTAAAGTCTGTTTACTTATCTCAGACTCATCACACTCAGGAAAATACACCCCAGTTAAGAGCCTGGAGGATTCCTCTCTTGGAAACTTCTCTGACCAGGAGAAGACCTATATTCTGGCAGTAATTACCTGGTTCCTGTCCAAGTACCCTTCAGTAAAGCCCATATTGCTTCCTAAACCTCACTTATGAATCCAGTTTCCAGCCACTATTTAGTCCCTCCTTCTTAGACATGCAAGAATTACCAGATATTTAAGGAATTATACTGATTTTATATGCATAAAATAAAAGTTAGATACCAAATAAAAAGAAACTTGAAGAACACAGTGCAAGAAAAAAAAAGCTTTTTTTTTTTCATTTATTTTTATTAGTTGAAGGCTAATTTCTTTACAATATTGTAGTGGTTTTTGCCATACATTGACATAAATCAGTCATGGATTTACATATTTTCCCCATCCCGATCCCCACTCCCACCTCCCTCCCCATCCCATCCCTCTGGGTCTTCCCAGTGCACCAACCCTGAGCACTTGTCTCATGCATCCAACCTGGGCTGGCGATCTGTTTCATACTTGATAGTATACTTGTTTCAATGCTATTCTCTCAGAACATCCCACCCTCACCTTCTCCCACAGAGTCTAAAAGTCTGTTCTATACATCTGTGTCTCTTTTTCTGTTTTGCATATAGGGTTATCGTTACCATCTTTTAAAATTCCATATATATGCGTTAGTATACTGTGTTGGTGTTTATCTTTCTGGCTTACTTCACTCTGTATAATGGACTCCAGTTTCATCCATCTCATTAGAACTGATTCAAATGTATTCTTTTTAATGGCTGAGTAATATTCCATTGTGTATATGTACCATAGCTTCCTTATCCATTCGTCTGCTGATGGGCATCTAGGTTGCTTCCATATCCTGGCAATTATAAACAGTGCTGCGATGAACGTTGGGGTGCACGTGTCTCTCTCAAATCTGGTTTCCTCAGTGTGTATGCCCAGGAGTGGGATTGCTGGGTCATATGGCAGTTCTATTTCCAGTTTTTTAAGGAATCTCCACACTGTTCTCCATAGCGGCTGTACTAGTTTGCATTCCCACCAACAGTGTAAGAGGGTTCCCTTATTTTTAAGTCATATTTTCATTATTATCCTAAGTGTGATGAAGAAACATGTCCATGAAATGAGTGTAGGCTACAAAAAAAAAGGAGCATTCAGGGAACAAAAAGAATTCTTGAAAATATGAAATCAGGAATAAAACATTCTATGAAGGATTGGGTGATCAATTTAAGGAAATACTCCAAAAGTTGAACCGATATTAAAGAGAAGATAAAAGAAATAGTGGTGACACAACTCTGTGAGTAAACTAAAACCCACCAAATTGTATCCTTTAAAAGATTGGGATTTGTGGAATATGAATTGTATTTCAATAAAGCTGCTATTTGAAAAAGAAAAATTATAACCTGAGTCCAGGCATTCTAATATCTGAAAAACAGTAGTTCCAGATATTATAAAGTAAACAAGAATGAAATTACTAAGCACATGAAACTGGAAATTTTTTTAGAAGTAAAAATGATCATGAGTGTACATATTGAAAGAGCCCACCAACTGCCCATCACAATGAATGAAAAAGACCCATACCAAGACACAATGTCATGTAATTTAAAAATCTTCAGGATAAAGAGAGAAATCCTTCAGTTTTTCAGAGGGAAAAAAAATTACCTATTGCAAATAAGCAATCAAGAATGTGAATAACATTGAACATCTCAGAAGCAACTCTGGAGGCTAAAACATGGTGGAAAAGTGCACTTTTTCTGAAGAGAACTGGCTTTGCAGAGACAAGATAAAGCCTCACCCAAAATTTGTTTTAAATTTCAAGATTAATGATGCCACTCACATACCAAGAGGGTGTGGAAGGGTTTATTACTGATATAATGAGGCCTCCTAGAGAGGAGAGTGTCTTCCTGAATAGGACTGAAAGTGGCTTGAGAGAGCAGGGAAAGGACACTGGGTTGGGGTGTTTAGGTGGTTAGTGGGGCTGGGATGAGGCTTTAACATGCCGTTTTTGCCAGAAGATGGAGCACCAGGGCTCATCAACTTGTACAGATATGGGACAGAAGGGGAACTTGGAACAGTGAGGTTTAAATCTGTCAAACACTAAAGACTGCATCAGTCTTTTTAATATACTGGCCTAGAATTCTGTACTCAGCTAAACAATCACTCAGATAGGAAGATAGTATAAAGAAATTTTCAAACAGGTCTTCTATGCACCTTTTCTCAGGAAATGAAGAAGATATTCCAACAAAACCAGAAAGGAAATCAATAAGGAAGAAATCATGAAATCCAGAAATCAAAGGCTCTAATACATGAAATATATAAAAGAATTTCTTAGGATCATGGTAAAAGAAAGTCCCAGAAGGACACCTGTGCAGCACATCTAGCAGACAGTCAATCCCAATTTGAGCAAGTGTAAGAGATCTCCAGTAGCAGTACTTTAATAAAAGAAAAAAAGGAAGGAAAGAAAAAGGAGGAGAGAGAGGAAGGGAAGAAGAAAGGAGGGGGAAAAAAGAACTGATAGATAACCTGGCATTTTTTTTTAATTGAGAGGAAATTTATACTTTTGCAACAAGTTGAGATGAAATAGGTACTTAGAAAACTAATTGAAAATTAAGTAATCAATAACTCAAAGGAAAAATAAGAACTTGTAGCAAAAATGTGACATAAATAATAGAGCTCATAGTAGATGGTTCAGCTGTAAATATATTTAAGCAATTATAATAACAGAATCATTGAATACATTTAATTTATAAATGTAAATGTATAAAAAACAATAGAGTTAATAGGGTTGAAAACATTTGTCTCATTATGATAGGGAGTTATGAGACAAGAGGTTGCAATTTTTTTTAATCCCTTTAAGAGGTGGTAGTTTTTGCTAAAAGCTTGTAGAACTGAGTTTTTAAAATGTATAATTTGATATAAATGTAATTTTAAAATGCATTTACATTTCTTACTTGTGACACCAGGGGCAGCCTTCTATTATTATAGTCAGGAACATTTGTTTATTCTTTTCTCTACCAAGTTACCCAGGAGGTGAGTACAGGGCTTTCCTAGTTTCTGAACCCGGTTTGAGTTCTGGAGTTTGGTGGAAGGATTTTCTCTCCTGAGAGTGGTATTCATAGAATTTTGAGAGGTAGATGGCATGAGAGATGCAGCAACTGAGAATGAGAAGGATGAAGACAGTGAGAAAAAGTAGCAAGGACAGGGAAGGACACTCTGGGACAGCTGAAGTATGGGAAGAGAAACATACTCAGAGGAAGAGCCTGACTCTGATATCTGAAGAGGTAAAGAAGGATGGTAGCTTGAGTCAGTCTATAATTTAAGTGGTGCACTGATGGCTGGAGGAGGTGACCACATTGAAAACAGTTGTCAACATTAAGGAGGGGGTTGGAGTGAAAGAAAAAGATGTGGTGAGGTCAAAGTGGGAGGATAAAGAGTTAGTAGTCTTGGGTGGGTAATGAATGAGCAGAGATAGATATAAGTCATCTCCAGGGCAGAAGATAATGGGTTTTAAGAGTGATGCTCTTCTTTGATCCCTTATCCCACACTCCACCAGTTTCTGTTAGTGTTGACCTCTGTTTTAATCATGTTAGGAATGTTTCATAAATGCTGACTGTCTATAGGAAAGTATATTTTCTCTTTTCTTACTAAACCTTCTGGTTCCTCAAGTAAATACTAAGTTCTATCCCTGTCATTTATTGGAAAGATTTTCGTTCTAGTCTACTCTCACAGGGATGACTTTAAGACTTCTGAATTAAAGAGATTTTATGTTCATATATTTCCCCCAATTTCCTATTGAGATGTTTGTTTTCTTATTATTGAATTTTTGGAGTTCTTTATATTTTGGATTCCAGTCCATTTACAGATCTTTTCTGTTACTCTGTGGCTTTTCTCTTTGAAATAGAAGGTTTAAACTTTGATGAAGCCCAATTTATCACTGCTTTTGTTTTATGAATCATTCTTTAATTGTTACATTAAAGAAATTGTTACCAACTCAGTGTCATGAAGATTTTATCCTGTTTTTTGTAGAATTTTGTAGTTTTAGGATTTGCATTTAGAATCATGATGCATTTATAGTTAATTTTTTATATGATGGAAGATATGAGTGCAAGTTATTTTATTTTGTTTTGCTTTTGCATGTGGATATACAGTTGTTCCAACATAATTTGTTTGAAAGAATATCCCTTCTCCATTGAATTGCCTTTGTGTCTTGGTCAAAAATAAGTTACTCTTATGCATGTAAGTCTATTTCTGGACTCTGTTCAGTTCCTTTGATCTGTGTTCCCTTGAATCTATGTTTATGCTTGGTGTTTTTTAAACGGAATAACTAGAATCACCCTTTCTTCTTCTCAGCTAGTCAGCTTACAGTTAATGGGTTACTTATATATAAAACTTGCACTTGAAAAATTAGGTATACATTTTATTTACTTATATTTATTATTAAGGTATACTTGATAAAATTTGTATTTTTGAGTCAAGAATTATAATTGAACCAAAGTAGGGAAAGAATAAATTTATAAAACTTTGAAAAACAATGGAAGGGGTTTATATTGCATTTTCTTCATATCAAAAATAGACTTAATTTCTAAGATTGAAATTCAAGTACAATTTAAGATTGTATACAATCGCATGCCTTTTCAGTTTTATGTATAATTTTACATTACTAGTATACAACTGCATGTATATTTCTACAAGTTTAAGTTCTTAGGATTTTGAATCTGTTTACTGTTGAAACATTTTACTCTTTTTCCTTGTTTATTCTATAGGACTAAGTTTGCAGCATGATATTTCTGGCTCTCTTCTAAGTTATTCATTTACAGACCCTTCTACAGAATATAAGAGTTCCGAAGAGAATTTAAGTAGCTTCCCATCACCTGAGCTCTTCAGAGGATCAGATTATTTAGGTGAGAAAATTTCGACCTTAAGTTGCTCCTCCATAGAAACTGCTCCTTTGTCTACAAATTCTGCAATGAATAATGTTCCTTTAGAGAAATTATACTTATGTTCCTCAGCAAAACCTCTCTGCCCACTATCCATTGTGTTCCACACGCAGTCACATAGGACTATAGATCAAAACCACCCAGATCAGGAAAAGATGAAGAGATTAGCATTTACATGTAATACATATCCAGTTATTAATATTAAGCAGCTTTATACATAACATATGTATATTTGTTCTCTTGAACTATGGGTTATCTTTTATTTCCTATACTTCTCTTACTTTTCAGTAATTCAAAGGTTGACTGGACTATCTCCCTGCTTGAATTTTTACTACAAATTATCAGTTATTTATGTTTGCCATATGTATAATTAACAGCCTTTGGTTAATGATGCAGATTGAACATATGCCTTCTTCCACAACTTTGTGCAATGGCAGAAAATGACTTTTTTTAAAAAGACATAAACACATAAGAGTAAAGAGAATGAGAAAGAATAAAGCATAAATTTTGGAAAGCTAGAGAGCAAATGGTCTGATAAAGTGGATTTGAAAAAGCTGAATCCTGAATCAACAATGGGAATAGCCCTGAAACAAGCTAGTTTGTACAATACTAAAGTATCCCGGATAAGCTTTCAATGTGGTTTGTAAAATACTTGTAAAAAGCTGTGTCCAAAATACAAAAATTGTAGTGACTTCTCTTTCTCCTTTCCTAGAAATTTATTCTTCAGTGTGTTTTGAAACAGAGTGACCCTGAACTAAGCACTGTTAATAGCAGGGATACCATGGTATTTTGTAATGTTGTCATTTACCTTGTCATATAGCCTCATGGTGGGTGAAGTTTCCTTTCTCAATCTTTGGCTTTGGGGTTGGCCATATGACTTTGGGCAACATGGATATCAGTGAGTGATACATAAGCAAACTTTTGATATGTGCATACATAATTGGTTTTGTCCCCCTATCCTTTTGCCATCATGAGGAAAATACAAATCTTCTTCCACTTATGATGGAAAAAACTCTTAAGCTGAATCATTGTGAGTCAGGGACCATATGCATATCCTAATTAGCTTCTACCTCTATTATTGAACCCCAGAATAAGAGATACAGAGCAGGATAGCCCTGGGCAGACTGCAGACTTCAGAGAGCTGCTCCAGTTGATCACCTGACCTATAGCCTGAAGCGGAGCTGCTTGAGCCAAATAGTAGACAGGTTTAAGAAAGAAATGCTTTCATTTTATGCCACTGAGATTTCAGTACTATTTATTATATAGAAAAAGCCTACTGCTTCAGATACTGTAGTGAATGCAGAAAGGGATAGTTAAATGCAAATGTACATTCCAAATTGTGGGACTGCTCACCCAATGCTTAGTCTCGTCCTAACCCAATAGCCAGCCCATTTCTCTATTCAGCTTCTAGAATGCTAGCACCCAGAATTGAAACTTCCAGGCAGGAAAATGGAAGTTTTTTCCTGAGAAATCTGAGCAACCGTAAAGAAAGTATCAAAAGATACTGACCTCAGTAGTGCTTCAGTGAAACTGGCAGGAACCCCTACAGTGAAGTTGCCTACGTGGCCAGCCCCAGCTAGGCCATAGAGATCCCACTTAGCCATTTAGGGCCCCCTCTCAAATATGAGCAAAAGACAAGGACTACCAGACTTCTGATGAATTCTCTAACATAAAGCATAGAGGTCAAAACAGCAAAATATGGTAGTAAGTCAGTAAGGTGTTGGAATAGTAAACCCTAGACTTGCCTTTCCCAATGGACACACCAATTCAACAACAATACATGGACTAATTTGTGTCCATGTATTTCCCTTTGTGAGACTTTGTGAGAAATCTCAAAACTAGTTGAGTGACTCCTGCACCCCAGGCAAGCTTGAAACCAGTCACATCAAAGCAAGTAGAAAAACTCAAGACACCCTTCCATCATAATTCACATCCGCCATGCAGCACCATACAATTGGCAGGAAACCTTCAGCTCCTAGATTTTCCCTAGGGAGGAAGGGAAAGGCCTGAACTATGTACCAAAAGCTCTCAATTATTTGGGGATAACCAAAGAATGGACTACTGACTTGTCTGCCTCAGAGTGCTGGTGGGACCTGACATACTCTAGAAGTCTGATGAGTGCTGAAACAAAGATACCAGTTTATCCTAGCATAAGAACATTCACTAGATCCCAGCTTCTCTTTGGGAAGGGAAAGATTTGGACTGTGTTCAACATTCCAACATTTCTGGGGCTGCCGAAGGGACTAGCTTTTGTCTCATCTGTCTTAGAGCAGTGATAGGACTTGTTTTATTCTAGATGCCTCATGGCCACTGAAACAAAGACTCTGGTTTGAACTAGCAAGAAGGTTTGAGAAGATCCTGGTTGGAAAGACTGATGAAGATTTTCTCCTGTATGAGGCCTATCTGTTTACAGACTGGGAAAGCTGGCTGTTTTATCTAATGTGCAGACACCAACACAACTGATTAACGAGAAAGAAGAAACAGGGAAACATGATCCAAAAAGTGAGAATAAGATAAAGCTCCAGAAAGTGACTCTAATTAAATGGAAATGTATGAACTACCTGACAGAGAATTTTGAATGATTGTCATAAAGATATTCAACAAATGTTCATAAAGAACTCAGGAGAATGTATGGAAAAAGTGAGAATTTTAAGAAAGATATTTTTCAAAAAGAACCAAAAAAAAAAAAAAAAACTTAGAGCTGAGAAAAACAATAAATGCACTAAGAAAAAAAAAAAAAACAGTGAAAGATCAATCAGAAGAAAGAATCAGCAAATTCAAAAATAAGTCATTTGAAATTATCCAGTCACAGGAGCTAAAAGGAAAAAGAATATAAAAGAATGAAGAAAGTTTGAGACTTACAGAACACAAGAAAACAGATCAAGGGAAAAGGGAAGTGGGGAGGGAGGGAGGGAGAGGGAAAGGGCCAGAAGTTTTCTTCATAGAAATGGTTGCTGAAAACTTCCTAAATCTGGAAAAGGAAGTGTACATCCAGACCTAGGAACCCCAACAAACCTCAAATAAGATGAACCAAAGAAATTCACATTGGGGCACATAGTCAAACTGTCAAAAGTCAAAGGAAAAGCACTTTGAAAGCAGCAATATAAAAAGCAACTTGACATATACAGTGAGACCTCATTAGACTATTTATGGATTTCTCAGCAGAAACCTTGCAGGCTAGAAGAGAGTGGAAGTAAAGAGACAAAGTGCTGAAAGAAAGAAACTTTCAGCCAGTAATACTGAAGCCTGCAAAATTGTCCTTAAGAAATGAAGAGAAAAAAAAAAAAAGAAATGACGAGAAGTCCAAACAAGCAAAGGCTGAAGGAGTTAATCGTCACTAGCCCTGTCTTACAAGAAGTGCTAAAGGGAGTTCTTCAAGTTAGAACAAAGGACTCTAAACAGCCATATAAAAGCATATGAGAGTATAAAACTCATTGGTAAGTATATAGACAAATGCACTGATACGATAGCAGTGACATATAAATCACTCTTAATTCTAATATAAAAGTTAAAAGACAAACATATTAAATATAAAAATATGTTAATGGGTATACCATGTGAAAGGTGGTAAATTATAACATCAGTATTGCAAAATGTGTTTGAGGGGTGAAGTAAAAGCATAGAGTTTTTGTTAAATTGTTATCAGTGTAAAATAGACTGTTAAAACTATGTTTTATGGTAACCCCATGGTAACCACACACAAAAAATACCTATGGAAGATACATAAAAGAAAAATAGAAAGGAGTCAAAGCATATCAATATAAAAGAATCAATGAAAGACAGAGGAGCAAGAGAAGGAAGAGGGGCAAAATAACTATAAAACAGAAAACAGTTAACAAAATTATAATAGTAAATCCTTCTCTATCAATAATCATCCTCTATCAAGAATATAAATGGATTAAACCCAATCAGAAGATGAAGAGTGGCTGAATGGGTTGAAGAAATAATCCAACTGTATGCTGTCTACAAAAGACTCACTTAAGATTTAAGGGCACACATAGACTGAAAGCAAATGGCTGGGGAAAGGCACTCTATGTAAATTGTGACCAAAAGAGAGCACAAGGGGCTATACTTTATATCAGATAAAAAATAGACTGAGTCAGAAACTTTTATAAGAGACAAGAATGTTGCATAATTATAAAAGCATCAATTCATCAAAAACACTCAACAGTTGTGAATAAATATCCACCCAACATCAAAGCACCTAACATATAAGGTAGACACTGGCGTAACTGAGGGTAGGAATAGGCATACAGTCATAGTAGGAGACTTCAGTACTCCCACTTTTAATAATGGATAGAACATCTGGACAGAAAATTAACACTTAACTGATTTCAAAGTATATTGCAAAGCTATAGTAAACATAACATTATAGTACTGGAATAAAGACAGAGATACAGACCACTAGGACAGAATAGAGGGCCCAGAACTAAATCCATAAAGGCATTTGACCTTTAACAAGAGTGCCAAGAATACACAATGTGGGAGAAATAGTCTCTTCAACAAATGATGTTGACAAAACTGGATAGCCATATACAAAAAATGAAACTGGACCCTTACCTTATACAAAAAAGTCAGCTCAAAATATAGTAAGGACTTACATGTAAGACCAAAAACTATAAAACTCCTAGAAGAAACATAGGGGAAAAGCTTCATGACAATTGGTCTTGACAGTTATTTCTTGGATGTGACACCAAAACACAGGCAACAGAAGCAAAATTAGACAAGTAGGCCTAGATAAAACTGAAAGGCTTCCGCGCAGCACAAGAAACAATCAACAAAGTAAACAACCTATAAAAAGGGAGAATATTTAGAATCCACATATCTGATAAGGGATTAATATCCAAAATATATCAGAAACTCCACAATTCAATAGGAAAAAATCCAAATAACTTGATTTTTAAAAATGACAACTTGAATGAACATATTCCCCCCAAAGAAGACAGTCACATGGCCAGCAGGTATATGAGAAGATCAGTAACCACCAGGGAAATGCAAATCAAGATCACAGTGAGATATCACCTCCCAACTATTAGGATGGTTATTGTTGTTTTTTTTAAAAGGTAAATGTTGGCAATGATATGGAGAAATTGGATTTCCTTTTGTACACTGTTGATAGGAATGTAAAATAGTGAAGCTGCAATGGAACAGTATGGCAGTTACTCAAAAAATTTAAAATAGAAGTAACATATGTGATTCAGCAATCCCACTTCTGGGTATTTATTCAAAATAATTACTGTCAGGATCTAGAAGAGATATTTGAACTCCCATATGCATTGCAGACTTTTCACAATAGCCCAATGACCACTGATGGATGAATAGATAAAGAAAATATGGTATATGCATACAATGGAATATTATTCAGCCTTTAAAAAGGATATCCTGCTATATGCAACACTATAGAAGAACTTTGAGGACATTATGGCAAGTGAAATAAGCTAGTCACAGGCAGAAAGATACTGTATGATTCCACTTGTATGAGATATCTAAAGTAGTTAGATTTATAGCAGTTGAGAGTAGAATGTTGGTTGCCAGGGCCCAAGGAGAAGGAGATGTGGGGAGTTGCTAATCAACAGGTAGAGTTTTAGTTATGCAAGATGAATAATAGGTTCTAGAGATGTGTTGCACAACATTGTGCCTATAGTTAACAATACTCTATTGTACTCTCAAATTTGAGGGTAGGTCTCGTGTTAGGTGTTCCCACCACAATAAAATTAAAAATAAGAGAAGAAACCAAACAGAAATAGGAATACGAGGAAGATACTGGGGGAGAAAGTCTTCCTTGAGATAAAAATATGTATATTACATCCATTGAATAGGAACAGGATGCTGTTTAAAAACTGGGGGAGTGAGAATATTCAAGAATAAATTTAAAAAAAGAATAAATTAAAGGCAATAGCAAAATGGAAAACTTGGTAGAAGGATTAGAAGATAAATTGAGATTTCCCAGGGGGAAAAAAGTCAGGAGGGAAAAAAAGGAGAAAAAAGTTTAGTTAGAGAAGTGTAGTATATGAAATCTAATACCAAATAATAGGAGTCTCAGAAAAAGATAATGAAATAAACAGGAGGAAGAAAATTACCAAAGATATAACTCAAGAACAGTATCTAGATCTAAGAAGTATGATTTCTGGGTTGAAAGGGCCATACACTGTCTAGCACAATAGATGAAAAAACACCAAACAAAACAATATGAAATTTCAGAACATCAGAGAATGGAATAAATAGAATGGATTTATACAGTTTGGTAGGGTTTAGGATTAAATAGATGAAGAATACAGAAAAATCTAAACAAATAAAACTTTATTGGCTCCAGGAAAAACAAGAGGTGGTCATTGTATATATACCAAAAGAGTTAAAGACAGCATTTTTATGACAATTTATCATCATAACGTTTGCATTGAATACTGCCCTAACTAAATATGCCATATAATAATATGAAGATAATGGGGAAAGTGGGGAAAAAAGAGTATTTGGACATTGCAAAAGCCTGAAGATTATTTAATATCCTGATTCCTCAAGGCTTTTCTTTATGCTTCACCTAAACTTTCTTCAATTACCATAGCTTTGTATGGGCTAGGAACCTAAGTTGGGGAGAAAAAGGTAACCTGCCACTTGTGTGCTGTTCAAAATTTTGTGCCATTTCTCCCTGCTTTTTTTAGAATGGGAGTGTCCCATGCTGGAAGAAAACATGCCATGTAGGAATTCTACTCTTTTGGACATAAGTAAAGCAGTAGCAATAGAGAAGGTACCTGAGTTTTCAAATCTCTCTGCAATTTTAGGTAAGTTTCACATTCTTTTTCCTCATGTCACAAGGGGGAAAACCCTTGTCATTATTGAAAAAACAAAGTATTTTTTCTCTTGAGTGATTTTTTAGCTAAATTAACCAATTAGGATTACTTTTGGCTACACATAATATCTGACTAATAGTAAGTAACTCAAGCACATATGGGTTTACTTTTTTAAAACATTTACTTTGAATTTTATTAATATACTTGCAGAAAAGTTGCAAAAATATTAAAAAGGGTTCCCATATACCTCCCATCCAGCTTTCTGAAATGTTATCTTCTATAACCATAATCAGTTCAGTTTAGTCACTCAGTCCTGTCCGACTCTTTGTGACCCCATGGACTACAGCATGCCAGGCTTCCCTGTCCATCATCAACTCCCAGAGCTTGCTCAAACTCAAGTCCATTGAGCTGGTGATGCCATCCAACCATCTCATCCTTTGTCTTCCCCCTTCTCTCTTGCTGTCAATCTTTCCCAGAATCAGGGCCTTTTCCAATGAGTCAGTTCTTTGCATCAGGTGGCCAAAGTATTGGGGTTTCAGCTTCAGCATCAGTCTTTCCAATGAATATTCAGGACTGATTTCCTTTAGGATTTACTGGTTTGACCTCCTTGCAGTCCAAGGGACACCACAAAAACATCAATTCTTCGGCATAATACAATGGTCATAATTAGGAAGTTACATTGGCATTAAACTGTTAGCTATAGACCTGATTCACATTTCATCGGTTTTTCCACTAATGTCTTTTCTTCTGATTCAGGATCCTATCTCGGATCCTACATTGCATTAGATGGTTAAAGTTCAGTTCAGTCACTCAATCATGTCTGACTCTTTGCGACCCCATGAACCACGGCACACCAGGCCTCCCTGTCCATCACCAACTGCCGGAGTCTACCCAAACCCATGTCCA